GTCTCGGGAGGGGCCGGCCCGCTGCTGAGGACGGAAGGGCCGGGCTCCAAAGGTCGGCCCGCGGGCCCGACGCCTCCGGTCCAGGGGGGAGGTCCCTGGGCCGCGGCTTTCTGCGGGGCGGGGGGCAGGGCGGGTGTGGGCTCTTTCGTGCCGGAGCTGGGCCGCACTGGCCGGGGAAGTTGGTTGCCCCCGGTGACCTGCTTGCACGGAGACAGGGGTTTTTCGTGGCAGGAAGATTGTCAGCCAGGAGTCCCCCATGAGCGAACCCCGCTCGACGGCAGGACTAGTAAATAGACGGGAACCTTCCCTGCGCAGCCTGAAAGCGGGTCCCGCCCAGCGCGGGAGCCGGACCGGCCGGTGGCCTCGTGTGGAATCTGGGGACCGATCTGTTTGCAGTGCTGCTGTAGTCGGGGCCTCATCTGCAGCAGAGCGAGGTTTATTCTCAGGCCCCATCTTCGGTGTCCGAGGCCTAGCGGAGAAGGAAAGGGGATTCTGAACCAGAAGCTGTTCAGCAGACCTCCTCGCAGTCTGAATAATTGTTTTTCTTTCAATCTCTTTGCTCAGGGTCCCGTTAGCACCCACCGGGACGTTTCCAAATTAGGCCTTTGATCCCTGAACGGCATGTGACAGTGCTGACCCCGGCGGTGGAGAAAAAGGTGGTCGCTATGTCCTTGCATTTCTGAGGATGCTAGGGAAGCAGGCCTTGTCCTGTCTTCTGTGGAAGAGGGGACACCACTGTTATTTTCTTCCATGCCTTGCGCAGTCAGTGCCCAGCGTGTTCTATCGAGGACCACGCACTTAAAGATCACAAGCCAGGAATCCGTGGAACTGAGTGTGGGGCTTACTCTGCCCCAGAGAGGAACGCAGTGTGGGGCAGGAGGGCTATGGAATAACTAAGCAGAGCCCTGACTGCATGACAGGGACGGCGCTGGGTGTGCGCCTTCCTTTGTGCAGTGAGTCCTGCCAGGACCCTCTGAGCGGTTCCCTCAGTGCAGGTCCTCGGGAAGCTGGGTGTGGACCAGGCATGTGCCCAAGCGCTCGCTTTTCCACAGGGCTCTTTTTCGTGACTTTCCTAGTGTACTGCCTGCTAAACTTTTTTTTTTTTTTTTTTTTTTTTACTATATCTTTATTGATTTCAAAGAGAGAAAGGGAGAGGGAGAGAGAGAAACATCATTGATGAGAGTCATTGATCGGCTGCCTCCTGCACGCCTCCTGCTGGGGATGGAGCCCACAACCCGAGCATGAGCGCTGACTGGGAATCAAACCAGCACCCTCTCCGTACACAGGGTGATGCCCAGGGCCTGCTGAACTCTTCATACACGCTGTGCTTTTATTTCATTTTTGGCCATACTTCATTGCCAAGGTCAGCTAAGCGGATACAAACCAAGTGCTTCCAGCCAGACCCCCAGGTGAGGGGTGCCTGTCTTGGCCGTCCTGTCACAACCCTGATGATGTGGTAGGATGGGTGTGCTCATTCCTGGTGGTGCATGGCAGTGGGCTTCGCTGGGAGGCAAGCACTGCTCTGTGACCCAGGCCTGCTTAAGGGCTCCTGATGGGTCATTCCAGGCGGAGGCTAAGCAAGAGCTGTTTGGTAGCTGGTGGGCTGCAGTGCCCACAGGTATTCCCCATTGTGTTCCCACTTCCAGTGCCCCCCCTTTTGTGAGACCACTTCATAAACTGAAACGGAGCCCCTGCCCTGGGTAACCCTGAGAAGATGTGTGTTTGTTGGTTGTGGTCCACGCCTCTCCATAAGTCTACATGAAGAGGTGACATGGTAGATGGGAATGAAAACACTAGTGTTAGCGTGTTTTCACACTGTGTCAACTTTCTTGAGGGATAACTGAAGTACACTAAACTGCACATGTTTAAAGTATACCATTTGCCCAGTCTGGATGGATGTGTATACCCCTGAAGCCACCAGCACACTCAAGGTGAAGGTGTTCCCATCATCTCCAGGAGGGAAACTGGCGTTTCTGTGCTGACTGCTTCTGGCAGCTGAGTTGCTTTAGACGGGCCATTTCCTGGGCCCTGTGGTTCTAGCGTCCACATCTGTAAAAAGAGGGCGAGCAGGGTAGAAGGCCTTCCAGATTTGAAGTTTTCATAGCTTGTGAACCCCAACGTGTAGTTGAGCTATCCTCTGAAGCATTTAGACCAGTGATTCTTTATGGGGTTAAGGGAGGGGTGTCTGTGTGCACCCATGTGTGTCTGCAGAGGCCGTGTACAGTTCAGAAGATATTTAATGTGTATTTTTCATGGTAAAAATAACAGAAAATAAAGCCTTACCGTCTCGGGGGATGTAGAAGGTGGTGTGTGAAGCTCTGTAAGGGGCCTGGGTTAAAATGGTTAAAATGCCCACAGGAGGAGGGGTACCTTTATACATATTTTACCTTTAAAGATCTTGACCACAAACTAAAAGTTCTGCGCTTTTAGTTTTAGGTTTTCCTCTGGAAGTTTTAGATCATTTTCTTTTGAAAATGATCAGAGTGGTACTGAAAGGAACTGCTATTAAAGTAACAAAGGAAATTATGGAAATATTGGGCTGGTGACCAATTTTTGTCCTTGGTCAGAAGAAACTCCAGAGTCCCTCTCCAACTGTGCCGAAGCAAGCAAGGGCTACGGGGCATGGCAGGTGACTGGCATCTTCTGTAGACACAGAGGGCAGATCCTAGAAGACAGTGATAACCTGTACAGATGAGTGACATTCTTCTAGCCCTTTCTCCCAAGCAGTCAGGTGCCTCACCTGTGCTGGCATTTATTATCCTTCCCCGTGAGCTCTCAGTGGGAACCTGAAACACAGATGGGTTGGAAGTAGCCAAAGAAGAGAATCTAGTTTGGGGTATTAATTATAATTTAATCTTAATGTTGATGTTGCCTAAAAATGTAAATAAAAAACAAACAAGTGTGAAGATGCATATTGAGGCTCTAGCCATGCCTTTCTTAAAGGAACAGGAAAGCAGAGCACCGTGGTGTCCTCGCTCACCTGAGGCTGACACTCTCCTTAGTCTGCCATGGGCCTGGGCACTTGTGCCACCCACAGGTGCATGCCCTGCAGTGGGGACAGGCCGACTTCTGTGGACAGTGGAGAATACACGTGGAACCTGTCAGTGGAGGCTCTCCTAGACTGTGAACTCCATGGGATCTCTGTCCCTGTCGCACCCCACAGCCTGGTGCCCAGCGAGTGTTAAATCCACAGCTCTCTCTTTTTAAAATTTTAAATCATACTTTAAAAAATTAGACTTATAGAGGATGGCGTAGAGATTACCCAAATTCTTTTGAAGGAATCCAGTCTTCATGTAGCTAATATGCTAAATTTTTCTGTAACTCAAGAAAAAAAATGAAAACCACCTACATCACTGTGGTCAGTGTTTGGCCGCTGTCTAGAGACGTGTCCTTAACCGAGCGACCATCTGTCTTTCAGGGTAAAGAGCAGTAATGCTGACACTGGCGAGCAAGCTGAAGCGGGATGACGGTCTCAAAGGGTCCCGGACTTCGGCCACAGCCTCCGACTCCACGCGGAGGGTGTCCGTCAGAGACAGGCTGCTCGTTAAAGGTGATGTCCACTCGAGCTCTTTATGTCCCATAGCAGTGTGGAGGCTGGTGGGGGCTTTGTGGGATGTGAAGTGGCCTGTTGCTGAGTAGCAACACCTGTTTGAAAACATGTTCCAAGCATCACTGCTCATTGCTTCCAGTGGAGGGACTGCACTGTGTGCTGTGGGAGCACTACCAGTGAGGAGCTGGGTTAGAGACTGTGTCTATGTACCTGGAGTTTTCTCCATGCGGCTGCCACGGTGCTGTTGTAAGGAGTAAGGTGCCGAGAGCCAGTGGGCCCACCACTCTGGTCTCAGTGCTGGACCTCTGTGGGGGCTGTGGAAGTTAGGTGGTGCTCCTGCCTCCCAGAGAAGCCCTCAGGCAGGATTACTGACTTTTCCGTCAGACAGTAGCCCTTTTCACGCAGTGGGAGGTTTTCTGTCCCTGTTCTTTCACTTGTCCACTCAAGAACTCAGTGCCTGCCGGGCTCCAGCCTACTGATCCTGACCCCGAGGACCTCAGGGTCTCCAAAAGGGGGCACCTTTGCCTATGTTAGTCTCTGTTAAAGTGTGGAGATTTGGAATCCAGCTGACTGAGTCCAGGGTCAGGTCTGGAATCGGAAACTGGAGGGAATGAATCTGTGTGCTGCCTTGGTCCCCAGCTATCCCAGGAGAAAGGCTCCTCACGCCTCAGGACACTCACACCGGGGTCACTGTCACCATGCCAGCAGGTGTGCTTGTTTGTCAATCACTTCCTGAACTCCCCGTCTATGCCAGGCTCAGGGCAGGTACTGTCCCAGGGCTGGGGAGTCTGTACAGCGCCTGCCGTGGCGAGTGTGCAGGCTGGAGCAGCAGCAGGTGGAAACAGCTAGAGCTCTGTGCTGAGCAGCCCAGGGCAGGGGGTGCATGTGTGCCCGTGGGGCCTTCGTGGTATTGGTGGACTTGTGATTGGATCTTTCCGTGCGTCATGCTTCAAGTGGGCTCTGTTTTTTGATCTTTAGTTAGAAAGGAAGAGTCTCATTTCTCAGAAGGAAGTTGTGTAGCCACGGAATTGTGCAAGGTGCCAGGTGCCTCCCAGAAAGGCTGGGCCAGTGTGCTGTGGAGGCGTTAGCATCTTGGAACAGGTGAAACCTTAGCAGTGGAAAAATATCTGGATTTCTTGTTACCGGACAGGTGGGGTCATGTCTTGTGGGCATAAAGTTATTCAGGGAAGGGCGGCTGCCTTCTCCAGAGGCCTCAGGCATGTAAAGCAGTTCACTTGTTCCTTTGGTCAGAGTCTTCCTGTACGTGGGTTCTAAGGTGGTAGCTGTTGAAGTTGATGCACTAGTATTGCCATCATTGGAGGTGCAGAGAAACTATCCTTATTTGTGGCAGCTCCCTGAGAGCAGTGCCACAGAGCCTCTGTGGCTTGTTCTGTCTTGTGTGCTGGGCTGAGTTGAAGTACCAGGCATCTTACTCGAAGTCCTGTGTCCCCAGGAGAGTATTCCTTGCTGCACTGGCAGTTGGTCAAGAAGCCTGCAGATGCCCTGCCTGTTGTGGGAGTTATGGCCAGACTGGGTCTGAGGGCTCCTCCAGCCCTGTCCGCCTTCCTTGAGTGAGGCAAACTGCACATGGAAATGCAAGCATTGTGCTCATCTTAGGAATTTAACTCTAGGCTGCAGTGTGAATTGTTAGATCCATCTGTGTAACCAGCTGAGTGTGAATATTTTGGCAAAATTTCCTGTTCCTGGGGAGAGTAAGTTCACAGGCCTGGGCCCCACTTAGAACTTCTGGTTTCCTGGGCTGGGCAGGGCAGCTGAGGGGCAGGGTTTGCTCTGTGTCAGTGGATACATAACTCTAAGTTTCAATAAAAATCAACTCTAAGTTTTACTAAAAATTGTTGAGTCACTTAAATAGATCTATTTTTAGTATGTAAATTATAGTCACCAAAGCTGTTGGAAAAAACATGAAAAACCTCCCCAAGTGATCATCCCAGGGCAGAGGATCCCTGTCCTGGAGTGAGGCACCCTCCACCTGGGCCTGGGGTGTGGAGGCTATTTCTGTTGCTCGGTTATCATCATGGCCTGGTCAGCGCTTCCCCGCCCCCTGGGTCCAGACCTCCTCTCTTCCCTTGGCACTAGACTGTTTTCTCAAACATTTCACACACACCTGGCAAATTCTCTGGGCATCTTTTTTTATTTCACTGGGCTTTTGTAAAGCTGGGCAAACAGAGCTCTCCTGAAAGCCTGGTGCCTGTGGCCAGCCTCAATCTCTCAAGCAAAGGGCCCTCAAGGACCGTTTCTTGCAAATTCTTATCAACAAAAATTTAATAGTATAATAAAATATGTAAATAGAATTTGCCTTAAAAACATAGTGTAATTATATGGATAACATTCATTTTAAAATGGTTAATATGAATGACTCATTTGATAAAGAGTCTGCTATTCTGTAAAATGAAGCCCTGTGTGAGCTGTTGGAGCAGAGATGGCCTTGCCCGTCCCCGTCAGAGGACCTGGTGCGGGTGCCTCGGGGCTGCAGAGTGCTGTGGTCCTCTGTACCCCGCTTTCTTTAGTGAGCACCCTGCTCTAGGGTAGGGCTGAGTGAGCCGGACAGGAGGCCGAAACTCAGGATCACTATGGTCATTATGAGAACCATGATATTGAACTCCATGGGTTCCCCATCCTGTTGTTTTGTTAAGTGGATCTATTTGAATGTAAGACTGCCAAGAAGGGAGACGCCCAGACCTGCATTTCGTCACAGAACCTGGTCCCTTTCCAGTCACGGCCAGAGGATGATTAGTGTTTGCTGCTCTTCACACACCCAGCTCTGCTCATGGGCCCTGGGCCCCGAGAGTGTCGTTCCCTGGCTCCTCTGCCCCACTCCACATTCTGGACGTAATTCCAAACCCCTGGACCCAGAGCTGATACATTTCTTGGGGCAACTGTCCCCGCCCAGATTCTCAGTTATCTGAAGTCAAAGGCTGTGGGTTTCCTAGACCCTTAGCCTCAGAACAGAACCACCCGCCAGCCTGCCCACTGATGCCCTCAGCACTCAGCTTTGCAAACACTGTGGCCTCTGCCCTCTCTTCCCCTCCCCTCCCTTCCTTTCTCCTCTCCACTTACCACTTGAAGGAATCATCCTACCTGTGGTGCGTATATTTTGACCATTTCTTTGCTTTTTAGTTTTTGTAGTCTGGTTTCCATCTTTCCACTTGCCTTCCTGCTATTTTGAATGCCCTCGGCAAGGTCCATCTCATCTGCTGGCCATGCCTTGGGCCTCTTTCCCTTTGGACCAGCCTGTCCTCTCTTTACTGAATCACCACATCCCCCAGGTCTGCTGATTTTCCACCTGTTTCTTGCCAGTAACTTTCCCATCTCCTTGTCCTCTCTACTGAAGTTCTCCTCGGTCATCCCTTAGTTGGTCTCATGACATCAGGTGGCATCACTCTGCTAGGCTCCTCAACCCTGACCCTGGCTGTGCACGCAGACTTCAGCTTCCTCCTCCCAGGCCCCCCAGCCCTCTGCTCCATTTTGGACCCCTCTCACCCACACAGTTGGCAGCTCCTTCCACGTTCTGCTCTCAAGCACCCTGCCTCTTCCTGCCTTTCCTGGGCCCTTGCTGCCTGTCCAGGTGCCCAGCTCACAGGTCACCTGACCTTTGCTGTGCCCCTCCTAAAGTGGTCCTCTTGGGGCAGAGCTTAGGAACTTTCGTTCAGAGATCTCCCTCAGCCGCTGTTGCTGTAGAATGCAGTTTAAAATTGCTCTTGGGCCCTGACCCTGCTTTCCAGCCTTGGTTCTTGTTGCTCTGGCTGCACTGTATTGCTCTGGCTTTGTGCGTGCCTGTGTTCTATGCTTTTGCATTGCTAACTTTCCTCCACCTGTACAGGACTACTTTCTACTTGTTCTTTGAAGCCCACTCAAAAACCTCCCTCCTATAGTCTCCACAGCTGGAGGGAACCCCAGAGCATGCTATATTATGCCTGAGGCAGAGACCACTTCCTGCCTGGTTGTTTCTGGGTGCCCCCCCGCCCCGAGACCAGCTCTGTAAGAGCAGGATGACTGGGGTTTGCAGCTCTGTGTTGGCAGAGGGGTACTGGGCTTCAGCGTTGTAGTGGCTGGAGAGCACTGGGGCCATGGAGTGCAGCTTCAAGGGCATGGGTGCAGGCAGGCGCAGGCTGGTGCAGGCATGGGCGTGGCCCCTGCAGGAGGAAAGCCTCTCCCTGGGCAGGTCCGAGAAGCTGGAGGAGTCACAGACATACAAGTGAATCAGTTTGAGGTCAGGAGCTGTGCCACTTGCGGGAACAAGGCTTTAGAAAGCAGCCCAGACTGTTTACTGAGGTAATCCCTGCGTCAGTGTTACCGTTTTTATTCGTATTAAAGTAAACTCTCGAGGGCCCTGGCTGTACTTGGTGGCATCCTGCGGGACACCTCGTATACTTGAAAACAACTTAATGGCTTAAAGTCTAAACTTAAGACTAAGTGTAGGTTTCGGTTTGTTTGATTTATTTATTTTTTCCTCAGTGTTCTGGAAGAAATTGCGAATGTAGAGCTGGTAATTTTATGTGGAGTCATTGATCGATATTAACAATAATCTCTTTGTTTCTACAGAGGTTGCAGAACTTGAAGCTAACTTACCTTGTAAGTATAGCTCCTCAGCCCAGCATTAGTGCTGTAAAGTAACTGCATGGAAAAGCTTGGCGTGTGTTTTAATAACCCGTATTTCATGTGTGGTAGGAGTATGCTTTAATTTGGTGCAGGCAGGGAGCAAACTGTTTCCAGGGCTCTGATAGGAGGAGGTGAGTCTTTCTGACGTAGCAGGCGGCCGGCATCTCTCCCTTCATTGCAGCGGAGGTGCGTTCGGCCAGCTTTCCCACCTGTCCTGCACCGTCTTTGAGTGAAAGGTCTATAAACAAGCGATGGGCAGACAGCCCTAGTTTTGCTAGTACCGATGCACCATTTTCATCCAGAAAGTGTTTATTTGCCATTTATCTTTGTGCATGAGGTAGGATGGCCATGCTGGCTGATGTCGCCAGGTTCCCTCCCTGTGCTTGGTCCGCCCTCTTGTACCCAGGCACTGTGTGCAGCCCTCACTTGGGAGCAGGCTCACTGTCCAGGCAGTGACCTGTGATATGTGACAAAGTTCATTTTCTTAAGATCTTCAAAGTCTGAAAGCTTTGGCCATTTATTTATGTGTGTGTGTGTGTGTGTGTGTGTATAAATATGTATATACACACACACACATATGTATATGTACATACATATATATGTATATTTGTCACTCCTCACCCAAGGATATTTTTCCCATTGATTTTTAGGGGGGGGGGTGCAGAGAGAGAGAGATGAGATAAGCATGCCAGCAGTTTGACCTGGGTCCTTTTTCTGGTTTTCCCATATGTAGGGAGCCTTTACCCATGTATTTTAATCTCTGCAGTATGATTTCTTCTTTTCAAAGAAAAATAGCATAAATCTTGAAATTAGTGGAAGGATTTCTATTGCTAGTGACCATTTAAAGCGAGGGTGGGGAATGTCCCCAGCCTGCAGGCTATATACAGCCTGAGAAATCATTTGGTATGGCCTCACTGAAGAGAAGCAGTTCCAGCCATCACTTTAGGGGTGAGTTAATTAAATGTTTGACCAATTATAGCATGCTAAGTTTTTTTTTTTAATGTGTCTTGATTTCAGAGAGAAAGAGAGAGAGAGAGAGAGAGAGAGGGAAAGAGAGAGAGAGAAAGAGAAAGAAACATCATGATAAAGTCATTGATCAGCTGCCTCCTGCATGCCCCCTTCTGGGGATCAAGCCTTCAACCTGGGCATGTGCCCTGACCTGGAATCGAACTGCGGTCTCCTGGATCGTAGGTCAGTGCTCAACTGCTGAGCCATGCCAGCCAGGCTAGCAGGCTAATTTTTAAGTTGATAATTTTGTATGGCCCACAAATGATGTTATAAATATCCAAATGGCCAAAAAAAGGTTTCCCACCCCTGGTTTAAAAGAATGAAAACATTTCAATTTGGAATTAAGTAGTAGAAGACTGTAGCAGGAAACCACATGGGAGAAATCACTGGTTTGCTGTTTTGGTGTATTGGCACAATTATTACCAAATAAGCAGTGAGGGGATCTGACACTATTAGCCTGGGGCGGGGGTTCAAGGTTGGCCTCACGAGAGCCACCCCAGCTCTCAGATCTTCCTGACATGCTGTTTCTCTTGCAGGTACCTGTAAAGTGCATTTTCCTGACCCAAACAAGCTCCACTGCTTTCAGCTAACTGTCACCCCAGGTAATATTCCTATGTACTTCTTAAACAGCAGATTTTAAAGGCTGCCCAGACCTGTAATCTTTGGCTTCATTTGTCCCCTAACTTTTTGAAAGTCATGATAGTAACAGCCTTTCCATGTGAAGATAAGATATACGCTTTGTGGTCAAATAGAGCCTAGTCCTGTGAATCTGAGGCATTCATTCCAGTAACCAGGGACACACCAGTAGCCACAGTGAACAGGACAGGCTGCTGGTGTGCGGTGAGGAGTGTGTGCTCTGGAGTCCTTACTGGGCTCAGGTCCTGCTCTGCATATAGCAGCTGTGGGACATGGTGAAATGACTTCCTAACCTCTTGGCCACAGCCCCCAATACAGAGTGTGATGGAACAGGTCCTATCTCCTGGGACAGGAACAGTTGTGTAGCCTAAGTGCAGCATGGCGGGTGGGGCAGATGTCGAGCTGTCCTCGTTGGGACTGATAACTATCTCAGCTCCCAGTGCTCTGGAGGGTAACAGTCTCCTCCCTGGTCACACTGGGAGCTGGAAGGAGGACTTGTGCTTTTCTGTTCACAGTGCAGCTCCAAGGGCTCCAGGTTCCAGCTCTGGCTGAGTTACCTCGGCAGTGGGTGTGGTGCCACAGCCAGCAGGCGGAGGGGGGCGGGTTGGACAAAGGGAATTAACTGGAGTGAAGGGAATATTGTGGGGGATACGAGGATGTTGTAAGTGGGGGATGGAGGGGGTGAGAAACAGGCTCTGAAAGAACACAGAATTCCAGCAGGTGGTGATGAGCCCACAAATATGCCCCGAAGTTGTCTCCCTGTATGTACAATGTTTGTCTGTTTTTTGCTGTGGGAGATGATTTATAATAACGAGACATCCCATTTTCGAAATGTGTTTGAAACATTTTAAAGATTTACCGAATCCTGTGATGGTTCTATAAACTGCTCTGGGACATGGATGTAAATTCAGTCTGGTACCATTTCTACTAAGCTGAGTGACACCAGGATAGTGTTAGCCCCAAACACTGTCAGAAATGGGCTGTTTACACGCCCAGAGATGACCGGACTTGGACTCCAAACACATGGTGAAAATGGACCACTCTCGGCCGCCATCATAAAGTTCACTGCAGGCTGTTTTGATTGTAGTGAGGGCACTGAGCACACTGTTTCTGGTGACTCGGGGCGCCAATGCACGGCATTTTCAGAACCTGTCATGGTGATGAAGAGTGGGTCTCTGTTGAGTAAGCAGCCTCAGAGCTGTGTGTGTGTATCATCAAAACATTGGTTACCCTCCACCTTCTAGGCATTGTCAGTGGCTGTCAGGGATTCTGTGGCTGTGTCCAGCCCAGGCATTGGCTTGGTGTCCTTCTCAGCCGCGTGGTGGACTTTGCCAGGCTTCTCACTATCTTACTTGAGTAGGTTTGTGTTAAGTCCAACCTCTGGTTAAGTGTTTTGTTTTGTTTTTAAATATATCTTTATTGATTTCAGAGAGAGGAAGGGAGAGGGGGAGAGATAGAAATATCAATGATGAGAGAGTCATTGATCGGCCGCCTAGCCTGCAACCCGGGCATGTGCCCTGACCAGGAATCGAACCCCGATCACCTGGATCCTAGGTTGACTCTCAACCGCTGAGCCACACCCGGCTGGGCAAGTGTTACTTTTTTTTAAACTGCATCCCCCCTCCCCCCCCAGTTACATGGATGTTGTGGCCATGTATATGACATGGTCCTCCTATTGTTTGGTATGGTTTTGGTGTTCCTGCTGGATCAGATAAACAAGGGACTTGTATTTTGGCACCTGTAACTGTGAGTGTTTAGCGTTTGTTTGTGACATGTGCATATCAGGGACACAATTGTCAGCTGGAGCTGTATGCCAAGTGCGCTTCTCACACACTGTGAGTCAGAGAGCTCTGTGCCTCTCTGGGGTCCAGAAAGCAGGGCTGCCGTCTGCCAGCCCTGAACACTGGCCTGGAATCATGGTTTTTAAAAGACTTTCTGGAGTTACACTCCTCTTAGTTTTGAAAAATTGATAGAGGTACGTCTGAGAAGTAGTTTTAATGGTGGGTGAAACAGATGGTGTTGACACTGGGTCATTTGCAGCCAGTAATCCTGGGGCCCAGTCTGAAATCCGAGGAAAGAACCTGTGAGATCCTGGCACAGGGTGCTCAGGGTGGAGGAGCTACCTTTGCGTTTGGAGCTCAGAGCTCTCCGTCTGGCTTCTGGCAGCGTAGTCCTGTTCATACTTGGTGTTTTCAGTTTGGGTAGTTTCTGGAATGTCCCTCATGCTTGGGAATAAATGTGCTCTTCAGAGAAAAGATGGAACTGAAATTCGGTGACAGAGGAAAGGAAAGGAATTTAGGGGAAAAAAGAGTCTTCACATAAACTCACAAAATAAGAAAAAAATACTAGCAAGTGAAACAAAACAAAATAAAGCTAGACCCTAAACACTGGCTCAAATCTCCCCAGAGCCTCCTGTGAGATTGGAAACACTGCGTGGGCCAGGTCACAGCTGCCCAGCTTCCCTGGAGGTCCCTCAGCCTGCCCCGCTGTGGCATGGGGGCCCTGGATATAAATAACAATTATTACTTTAATTTGAGGTTTTGCTATATAAGTAAGTTTATGGAGCTATAAAATTACAAACAATAAAATGCACTAATTTGAATTGTACAGCTTAATAAGTTTCAAAAAATGTATGTCCCTGAATAACCATAACCCGATGAAGATGTTTCCTCCACTCCTGATGTCCCCTTGTGCTGCTTCAGTCAGTTCCTCGGCCCTGCTGCCCACCCAGATTCCTTTCTGGTTTCTAGTACCACGAATCAGCTTTGTCAGTTCTTGAATTTCATGTAAATAGAATCTTATCTACTCTTACATCTTATGTAAGAGAATTGCGTGTGTCCTATATACTTATGTATTCTTTGTCTCTGACTACTGACATGTGATGTGTTTTTAAATTCATACATGTCGTGTGTGTCTGCAGCCTGTTCCTCTGTCGTGTGAATAATTGTCCTTTTCCTATTGGTGGACACTGAAATCTTACCAGCTTTAGCTATTATGAATAAGACTGCTATTAGCATTCTCTTACCATCCTTTATATACTCGTATTTTTCATTTCTCTTAGATTCCACTTACGAATGAAGTCTCTGAGTCATGGGAAAGATATATGTTTAACTTTTAAGAAGCTTTCTAAAGTGGTTGTACCGTATACCAGCTAGCAATGTGTGACAGCTTCCAACTGTCCTACGTACTTACCAGTGTTTGGGTGTGAAATGGTGTCTCATCATGGACTTAACTTGCATCCCTGATACTGGGATTTTGATTGAGATTGTGTTGACGCCATACATCAGTCCAGCAAGAAGTGACATCTTACCAACATCGAGTCTTCCAATTTGTGAGCATGGTGAATGCCTCCAGTTATTTAGATCTCTTTTATTTTCTCTCAGAGCATTTTGTAGTAGTGTTAGTGTATATATAGGTCCTGCAAACACTTTGTTAAATATGTCACTAAGAATTCCATGTTTTTTCAAGCTGTTGTAATATTATTATTACTTTTTAAATACATTTTTATTGATTTCAGAGAGAGGAAAGGAGAGGGGGAGAGAGAGAGAAACATCCTGGGCTGCCTCCTGCACGCCCCCTACTGGGGATTGAGCCTACAACCCAGGCATGTGCCCTGATCAGGAATCAAACCGTAACCTCCAGGTTCATGGGTCAACCCTCAACCACTAAGCCACACCAGCCAGGCTAAATGGTATTTTTAAAATTTCTATTTTACTTGTTATTAGTGTATAAAAATGCAATTGATTTTTAAAAATGTGTTGCTTGCCCGGCCGGGCGTGGCTCAGCGGTTAAGCGTCGACCTAGGATCCAGGCGATCAGGGTTCGATTCCTAGTCAGGGCACATGCCCGGGTTGCGGGCTGCAGCCAATCAATGACTCTCTCATCATTGATGTTTCTATCTCTCTCTCTCCCTCTCCTTTCCTCTCTCTGAAATCAATAAAGATATGTATTTAAAAAAAAAAAAATGTTGATTGTGTGTCATGTTACCATGCTAAATTATTAAATTCTCGTAGCTATTAAAAATATTCTTAGGATTTCTATCATGATTCCATCTGTGAGTAAAGATAGTTTTACTTCTTTCTCACCAGTATGTGTGCCTTTAATTTCTTTTTCTTATCGCACTGGCTGTGTCGCCACAACAGTGACGATAGAAGTTGTGAGAGCACGTCTTTGCTTCGTTTCTCATCTTAAGGGGAAAGTGTTCATTATTCATTGACTATGATGTCAGCTGTAGGTTTGTTATTTTTTAAAACATGGCCTCTGTAAGACTGAAGAGTTCCTTTCTTTTCCTTGCTTAGAGTTTTTGTCATGAATGTGTGTTGAATTTTTCAAATGCTTTTTTGCATCAATTGAGATAATCTCATTATTTTTCTCCATTATTTTACAATATGGTAAATGAAACATTGATTTTTGAGTATTAAACCAACCTCGTATTTCTGCAATAAACCCCACTTGGTCATGAGGTGGTATCCATTTTTTTTATTCAATTTGCTAATATTTGTTAGAGAATTCTGTCAGTGTTCATGAGAAATGTCGGTTGCATTTTTCTTGTCATTTCTTTGGTTTGGCATCAGAGCAGTGGTAGCCTGGTAGAATAAGTGAATAAGTGTTCCCTTATGGTTTCTGGAAGAGTTTATATAGGGTTGGTATTAATTCTTCCTTAAATATTTGCTAGAATTCACCAATTAAGCAATCTGGACCTTGAGTTTCCTTTTTGGAATTCAGTTTATTTAATGATATAGGGTTATTCATCTATTCTCAAGTTGGCTTCGCTAATTTTTTTCTTTCAAGGAATTTGTTCATTTCCCCTAAGTTGTAGAATTTATTGATGTAAAAGTTGTTCAGAATATCCTCGTGTCTGGAAGATATGTACTGATGTCTCCTTCATTCCTGATATTGGTAATTTGGTTCTTCTCTCTTTGCAAAGAACTAGCTTTTGATGTCTGCAATTTATCAGGAAGCAGGC